CACTGGTGGATATTTGGGTTGTTTCAGTTTTTTCATTTTCTTTTATAATTACATTTTTATTGATTTTTTCTACTTTACAATGTTTTCTATTTTTATTGAGATATAATTGACAAGTTGCATTGATTTTAGGTGTAAATATATTGATTTGCTGTGTTATAGTGTACAAGAACTGGAGTACAGTGCAGAAGTAAGCAAGGGGGGTGAGATGACTCACCACCAGAATGGAGAGCAGAACAGGTAGATGTACTGAAATACACTGCTGAGGGGAGCAACGGGCAAGACAGGAGAGGTCTGCTACACCATGTAGGTAGCTCCCTGGCAGGGGTTTGAACTTGTGCTGCAGTGGCTGCAGATAAATTCATAGTTGTGCGCTTTAACCATTGCGCCGCCAGGGAGGACCCTCATTCCGTAATTTATCAGAGTTCTTTAGCAGCAGTGAGCAGAAATTCATCTGAATTAATTAAGCATGAGGATATTTGGAAGAATATGGAGTTGCTCAAAACCAATGATGTCTAAAAAAATAAGGCTACCATATGACCCACAATTCCACTCCTACGAATCTATCCAAAGAACTCAAAAACATTAATTGAAAAGGATACCTGCGGCCCTCCCTGGTGGCGCAGCGGGTTAAAGCACTGCACTGAGAAGCTTAAGCCACTTCCGCAATGAGTTCGATCCCCGCCTGCCCGGGAGGAGATCCACATGGCACGGCAGACCTCTCCTGACCCGCCCGCTGCTCCCCTCAGCAGTGTACTTCGTTGATCTGCCTGTTCTGCTCCCCACCCTGTCTCTGGTGACTCCTCTCACCCTCCGCATCTCTGGCCTGTACCCCAGTTCTATATGGATAAATAAATAAATAAATCTTTAAAAAATATATAAGGCCTCAAGAAAGTCAGTAACCAAGGAAATTTGGAACATTTAGGGAGTCAGTTTCCACTCAGGTTTAAAGATCAGGCACAGAGAATCGGATTATTCCATTTAGAGAGCTAGAATTGCTTATCTAGAGCAAAGAACATTGAAAGAATGTTTCACAAAATTTGCAGTAACTACTTTGGTTAGAAAAAGAGGGGTGGGACCCTCCCTGGTTGCACAGCTGGTTAAAGCACAGCATTAAGGAGCTAAAATCATTTCAGCATGAGTTCAGTCTCTGCCCTGGAGGTGACCACATGGTGTGGCAGACCTCTCCTGACCCTTCCGCTGCTCCCAGAAGAAGTGTACTTCATCAGTCGGCCTGTTCTGCTCCCCACTCTGTCTCTGGTGGGTTCTCTCACTGCCCCTGTACCTCTGACCTGTACCCCAGTTTTATATACAAAATAAATAAATCTTAAAAAAGAGGGGTGTCCACATACAAGTGGATTTTGAGTAAACCTTTAAATGTACAAATCTGTAGTTTATTGGAGATGGCTAGATTGGGATAGGCAATTTGGATTTGTAAGGATTATTGAAATATGGGCATTGTTGTGGTAACCCAGAAGAGAATGAGAAGGCATCTTATTTAATCCTCACAGCAAAGTAATAAGGTAGTTGTTATTAACCACCATGTTTTACAAATGCATTATTTTAGTGTCAGAGAGTTTTAAGTAAACTATTGCTAGAACATAGTGGAAATAGGATTAAGTAAGGTCTATCTGGTTTATAGATATTTCTGTTCTTATCAAAGAAACAGCCATAAAACATTGTGTTCTAGGACTCTTGAGCTGCTCTTTACTGTGTACCATGATGTGTGCCCAATACTTCATATGGTTTATCTCATTTAATTTAATAAGTGAGAGATCTGAGGCTTAGAGAGATGTTTACTGCATGGTTGTCATATAGTAAGTGGTAGAGTCAGGGATTGAAACCTGTATGCTCTTTCCTCTATCAGAAATCAGAGAACAGTGACTCTCTTCTGGCTCAGTATTAGAAATACCTAAGGATCTTTAAAAAAAAAATCAATGCCAAACCTCGTCATTAGAATTCTGAATTAATTTATCAGAAATGTGGACTAAAAATTGGATTTGTTTTAAAGCTTTTATTCAGTTATTCAATAAACCCTGCTGAAAACAATTGTAGACATTTACAGTCTAGCAAAATCTACCAGCTATTTCCAGTGCCATATGTTGCAACCACAAAATCACAGTGCTATGGAAAATTAAGACTTTATTAAGCACTTATTCTCACTAATCTGCAGGCGGCTGGGATTCAGTTGATTAGGCAGGGCTCTGTTAAGCAACTCTGATTCAGGCTGGAGTGATTCTACTATTGCTGCAGGACTGTGAGTAAATTGGGGTGACTGCTTCATGTATTTCTCATCCTTCTTGGATCAGTGGATTAGCTGGAAGCTTGTTTCTCTCACAGCTTTTCTCACGCTAGTGGTAGAATCGAGAGGGGAATGTGTCCAACTGAACACATGTATTTTAAGCCCTTGTTTGAGTCACATCTTTGTATACTCCATTAGCCCAAGCAAGTCTCAAGACTGAGCTCACAAACAAGAGGTGGGAAAATATGCTCTACTTCTTTTGTGTAGACTTGCAAAATTGAAAGGCTGAGAACTGATCTCAATCATTCAATTTAGATGGAAAAGATGGACAATAACCAAATAAGTATATACATACATAAGTTATCAAGTGTGTTAGAATGTGTTAAGTAATATTGCAAAAAAAAAAAAAAAAGGAAAAAATTCTGTAGTGTGTGAAGGTGATTCTAAAGTGCAGCCAAGAGAGAGATGTATTGCTCTTAATAGTGTTCAATCTGGAAAGAAACCTGGATTAACATCCCTTTAGACATTTTTTTTGGAAAATCCCTGTTACTTAATATGAATAAGATCACCTACTTTTCAGGATATTTATACATACAAAGATACGATCAACAGCAAAAATTCATTTTTTCTCACTCCATGTAACCACAGTATTTTTTTTTATTACAAAAGTTTATTTTTACATCATTTTGTACATTTTTTTTCCATCTCAATTGTAATCCCCGCGGGTTTCCCATCACCAAGTCACCCATGTGCCATCACCATAATCCCGTGCATTCCCCCCCCCCGTTTTTGATCCCATTCCCAACCCAACCCCCCAAAATGTCTCTAGTATATGGTTGTTCATTATTTTTGTTATTTTCTCGTCTGGTCCATTATACTCCTGCTATGAGTGAAACCATCCGGTATTTTTCTTTCTCTTTCTGGCTTATCTCACTAAGCATGATCTTTTCCAGCTCCATCCAAGTTGCTACAAAAGATATGTGTTTCTCCTTTTTGGTTGCTGAGTAATATTCCATTGTGTATATGTACCACGTCTTTTTTATCCAGTCATCTACTTTTGGGCATTTGGGCTGCTTCCATGTTTTTCCAATTGTAAATAAAGCAGCAATAAACATGGTAACCACAGTATTTTTAAGCTGGAAATTTTTGTGATTTCCTTTTTTATTTGTTATAATTGATAATCAACATTATATTAGTTTCAGGTATATGACTTAATGTTTCACTATTTGTTTATATTAAAAATGATCACTATATAGTCCAGTTAACATTATTATATACTACAAAAACTTTTTCTTGTGATGCGAATCTGCTACCATGATTAAGATCCACTCTCAGCAGCTTTTAAATATGCAATAGGATATTGTTAAGTATAGTCAACATGCTCTACATTACATTCCCATGACTTATTTCTTTCATAACTGGAAGCTGTCACCTTTTCATCCCCTTTATTTGTTTTGCCCATCCCTCTGGCAGCCATCTGTCTGTTCTGTGAACTTGGTTTATTTTTTAGATTGCACATATAAGTGAAATGATGTGGTGTCTGTCTTTCTCTACCTGGCTTAATTCACTTAGCATAATGTCTTCAAAGTCCATACATGTCACAAATGGCAGACTTTCTTTTTTATGGCTGAATAACATCCCTCCATGTATGTGCATACACGTGTGATGTATTTATACCTGTGTTTGCATTTTCCTTATTCATTCATCCATTTATAGACACTTAGGTTTTTCCAACTCTTGTAATACAATGAACATAGCAGTTTTGAATGTGTTTTTCTTTACTTTGTGATTATGCCTAAAAGTAGAATTGATAACTCACATTTTTGAGAACCTTCATTACTTTTTTACATGGCTGCTGCATCAATTTGCACTTTTTTAAAAAAAATATTTATTTATGCTTACAGAACTGGGGTACAGGCCAGCGGTGCGGGGGCAATGAGAGGATTCACCAGAGACAGAGTGGGGAGCAGAACAGGCAGATTGACTGGGCGAGTCAGCAGAGGTCTGCCACACCATGTGGGTCAGCTCCCTGGCCGGGGATCAAACTCATGCTGCAGTGGCTTCAGAGAGCTTCATAATGTGGTGCTTTAACCTGTTGCGCCACCAGGAGAGCCCCAATTTACACTCTTAATGACACTGTACAAGGTTTTTCTTTTCTCCGTATCCTCATTTTGCCTCAGCCATTTCAAAAATAATGAAACAGACCTTGAAAGGAGAAGAATATTATTCAAGGTGCATAGGTAGATAATCACAGAAATGGGACTAGCACCTATGTCTCCTGACTCTCTACATGGTCTCTCTCATACCATACTACTGCAGCCTATAGTCATAACTTTCTTTTCAGATTACAGTAGTATGGTATTGTACAAAGATGAAGGCTGATATAATAAATATATCTTTTAAAAAATGCTGTTGAAGGACACATTCATTCTTTCTTATCTTGACCCCAAACATGAGAGGCATACTTCTGTGCTTCCCATAGTGACCCAATTTCAGAGCTCTACTTTCTATACTCCATATTTGTACTCTTCCAAAGTCTATCCTCTTTTCTCATTTTCCTCTTGAGCTTAGGTCTGTTTGTATGTCATCTTCTCAGTCCCCCCCTCCCCCATTGCTTACTTAGTAACTGCATCTTTTCTCTTCCTTAAATGTGAAATGCCTTGAGTGAAGAATCTTTGTCTAGTTGCTTTTTCACTGTGGACTTCCACTAGCTAGGGTTTACAGTCATTTCTGTTTTACATTAGTCTTTTTGATTTTCCAGGATGAACACTCAAAAGAAAAGAAAAGATATGGAACCTGCTTGTACCTGGAGTTTATTGTCTAAACAGAATTGTGAGTAACTGAATGCTCTAGGGAAGGGTATGTTTAGATAATTTTGTTCATGCTCTTTCCTCTACTTCTTCTTATAACCTTTGAGATTCTTCCAAATCTTTAAAAACTTTTTGCATGTGTAAAGATGTATGTATGTTAAGGTACTACATGGATGCAGTATTTACTCACTAATACTCTCTTAAAAATGTCTCTGCGGCCCTCCCTGGTGGCGCAGCGGGTTAAAGCACAGCACTGAGAATCTAGAGCCGCTTCCGCATGAGTTCAATTCCCGCCTGCCCCGGAGGTGACCACATGGTGTGGCAGACCTCTCCTGACCCGCCCACTGCTCCCCTCAGCAGTGTACTTCATCGATCTGCCTGTTCTGTTCCCCACTCTGTCTCTGGTGAAGCCTCTCACCGCCCCTGAGCCTCTGGCCTGACCCCAGTTCTGTATGCACAAATAAATAAATCTTTAAAAAAAAAATGTCTCTGCAATTTTTGTTTCCCCAAATGAGGAAAAAGTAAGGAAAGGAAAGAGAAAACTGTGGTTCCTATTGTTTTCCTCAATAATAAAAAAGCTTGTAATCATATAAGTCTCCTAAGTCTTTCCCTTTACTATATCAATGGAAAATAGCAAAACAGGAAGATTCTCAAGTATTTCTCCTTGTGACTGATTCCTGAACTCCAGGGATGTTGAGCTGTGGGTAATAGAAACTTCTTATTTTCACTGGACCACTCATTGCCTGCCCATTTCTGTGATATTCTAATATGTGCTTCTTCAGACTCTGCTTCCTTTTCTCTGCTTAGCCACACCTTCTCCCAATATAGATCTTGCTTTTGCCTTTTTTTTTTTTTTAAAGATTTATTTATTTGTACATACAGAACTGGGGTACAGGCCAGAGGCTCAGGGGTGGCGAGAGGCTTCACCATGGACAGAGTGGGGAGCAGAACAGGCAGATGGACGAAGTACACTGCTGAGGGGAGCAGCGGGCGGGTCAGGAGAGGTCTGCCGCGCCATGAGGTCGGGGCAGGAGAGAATTGAACTCATGCGGAGGCGGCTTTAGCTTCTCAGTGCTGTGCTTTAACCCGCTGCGCCACCAGGGAGGGACCTGCTTTGCTTTTAAAGGTGTTCAAATACTAAAAACCTACAAGAATGTGAAGGTGTGTTATGTGCTTATGCATTTTTATCTATGCTCCTGTATATGTGTTTGGATTGAGTGTGTGTGTATGTATTTGAATGCAGGTCATTTTATATCTGTCAGACTATCACCAGCAATTCCTTTTTCTTTCCCATAAGATTCAACAGAAACAGTAGTGGAAGTAATAGGTTTCACTGGAAACCAAAATAACAGAAATAGTCACTTCAAAAAAAGAAGTTCCCTTTATATTTATGCCTAAAATTTTCTTTATTGATCCTATAAACAAAATCTTTACATCCTACACATATCTGTGTGAGTTCTTATGTTTTGCTATTTGCTGGATGTTAGTTATAAACTACCTTTGCAGGCAAGTTAGGATAGGTGATTGACTTTGTTCACTGCATTTCTGTTTGGAGAACAGCATGATGGCTATAACAGTGTGGCCAAATTTCTCTATAGTTTATGTGTTGGTATGTCATCTGTGCTCTTCTTAAACCTAACATCTTTCTCCCACAGCTGCTTCAAGTTCTTTGGCTTCATTTTCATGGAAGGAGCTTACAGGTAAATGTCTTTTCTGTTTTACTCTTTTTCTGTTTGGGGAATAGTGCCAAAGAGCTTGGCTGGTCATCTGCACTCCTTACCCATTTCTTCCCCCTTGTCAATTGGGGCAATAATAATTGATTTTTGTATTATCTAAAAATCCCAAACTGTCATAACAAATAGGATGTCTATCATATAGAATAGATGTTTAAATTCTCAAAAAACCACTGAAGGTAGTGGTTAAGTATATCAGATGTTAGAGGATTTTATTGTTAAAATAGACAGGTTTGCTTCTGGAATGATCTAGATCACGGTCAACAAATAGCCAGTTTGGCCCAATCCAGCCAGCTGCTTATTTATGTAAATAAAAGTTTTACTGGAAAACAGCCATTCTTCTCATTTACGTATTTTCTTTGGCTGCTTTTGTGCAAAAGTGCAGAGTTGAGTAGCTGTAACAGAGACCCAGAAGCCTACATTATTTATGAAATTTTACCAAAAAAAAAAATGCAAACCCTTATCTACAGTATTCCCCAAACTGAGTTCTACAGACCACTGTTTCCAGAAGTTGATAGTTTTGCTTTTAGAAAAGGGTTCTGGAGTCATTTTAAGAAGGGCAGTGCTGGATAAAACAAAGCTAAAAGGCCTTTTTTTTTAAAATGGTAACACTTCTCAGAACTTTTCATATGTTAATAGGCATTGAGAAATTCTAAAAGGAGGTAAGTGTGTATTCCCTTCAACTTAATTGACCACAGAACACCTCTGTACACCTCTCCTGTCAGTGTTTTACAAAACAGTGTTCCAGGGAACACTTTTTTGGGAAATGCTCATTTGGACATTCTCTTAATAGAAGGTTGAACTTGTTAAGTGACTCAATGGGTCATCTTTTTCTTGTTGTAGAAGATGAAAGATGATGTATTATCACAAAGACCATGGTTTCAGGCAAGCCAGAATTTTAAGTCTCTGTCCAACCTTGGACAAATTACCTAAATCTTTAAGCATGACTGGCTACCTAGTTTATGGGATGTGGTGCAAAATAAAAGGCAGAACTCCATCTTCAAAAATACTCATTTCATAACAGCAACAGCAGAGCATGGCACCAGTCATGGGTCTTTTTTTTTAAGATTTATTTTATTTATGCATACAAGAACTGCGGTACAGGCCAGAGATGTGGGGGGTGAGAGGATTCACCTACAGAGTGGAGAGCAGAACAGGAAGATTGACTGAAATACACTCTGAGGGGAGCAGCGGACAGGTCAGGAGAGGTCTGCCATGCCACATAGGTCACCTCCCTATCCGGGGATCGAATTCATGCTGCAGTGGCGTTGCAGGGCCTTGTCGTGCTGTGCTTTAACCCGTTGCACCATCAGGGAGGTCTTTTGAGCATAAGATCTGTGCATCGATTGCACACCTAGAAACTTACAGTCTTAGCTATAGATGAACAAGGATAGCTGCATAGGAGTCTCTTCAGCAGTCCAGGAAAAAGTTGATAGTGCCTTGGATTTGGGTGGTATTTGAGAGCGTAGAGATCAATGAATGGATTTGGGGCCTTTTTTGGAGGTATAGATGATAAGCCTGCTAACTGATTGGACATGGAGGGTTGATGGAATGAAAAGAAATAAAGAATAACTCCTAACATTTTTCTGAGCACCATTTAATTGGCATGCCTGAAGAGGGTTTTGGGGATGGGAGGAGGCTAGTCAGTTAGAAATCAAGAACTCAGGTTTCGGCGTGTAAAGTTTGAGAAGCTTTTGAGACCCCCAAGTGGAGATGGTGATGGTGGTATTAGTAATAGTTGTTGTTTGTAATGTTAGCTAACTCTTGGTGTCACTTTATTAGATTACCGGGAGGCATTTAGAAAACATCTAAAAGAAAAATACCTAAAACTAGGAGATGATAAATGCTATCACTGTGGCAAGCATATAAAGTCACGACTGCTTATTGTAAAAGATCACAGAATATCAGAAAACACACCATGTGGAATTCCTCAAGAAGATACTTTTATTGAGATGGAACACATATTTGATCCTGATGAAAAAGGTGTCAGCTTACCCCAAACTGTGGTGCTTCAAGGATGTGCTGGAATTGGGAAAACAGCTGTGGTCCACAAGTTCATGTTTGACTGGGCAGCGGGAGTGGTTACCCCAGGCAGGTTTGACTTGCTCATCTATGTAAACTGCAGAGAAATAAGTCACTTCACCAACCTGAGTGCGGCTGATCTGATCACTAACACCTTTCAAGATGTATGTGGACCAGTCCTGGACATTATTCTGGCATATCCAGAGAAGCTTCTGTTCATTCTGGATGGGTTTCCTGAGCTTCAGTATCCTGTAGGCGATGAGGAAGAGGATCTTAGTGTTAACCCCTTGAAGAAGAAGCCCGTTGAGGCCCTCCTACGTAGTTTTGTGACCAAAAAACTGTTTCCTGAATCTTCCCTCTTGATAACTGCCAGGCCTTCAACTATGAAGAAGCTCCACTCTCTGTTAAAAGAGCCTCTCCAGGTAGAGGTCCTGTGCTTTACAGATGCTGAAAAGAGAGCATATTTTCTGAGTCATTTTTCAGGTGCTAATGCAGCAATGAGAGTCTTTTATGGTCTGCGAGAAAATGAGGTCCTTGACATTTTGTCTTCTCTTCCCATCATCTCCTGGATGATCTGCAGTGTCCTACAGTCCCAGGAAGATGGTGACAGGACTTTTATGAAGTCACTTGTGACGATGACTGATGTGTATCTCCTCTACTTTTCCAAGTGCCTCAATACCCTCGTAGGCATCTCGGTGTGGAAGGGACAGAGTTGCCTATGGGGCCTTTGTTCTTTGGCTGCAGAAGGGCTGCAGAATAGTCGGGTCCTGTTTGAAGTCCGAGACCTCAGAAGACACGGGATAGGAGTGTATGACACCAACTGCACTTTTCTCAATCACTTTTTGAAAAAAACTGAGAGCGATATCAATGTCTATACTTTCCTTCACTTCAGTTTTCAGGAGTTCTTAACTGCTGTGTTCTATGCTCTGAAGACTGACAGCAGCTGGATGATTTTAGATCAAGTGGGGAAAACATGGGAAGAATTATTCCAACAATATGGGAAAGGGTTTTCATCATTAACGATACAGTTCTTATTTGGCCTCTTACATGAACGAAAAGGAAAGGTGGTGGAATCCATTTTTGGAAGAAAAGTTTCTCCAGGACTTCGAGAGGAGTTACTGCAGTGGACTGAGAGAGAAATCAATGATAAATCTTTTAAGTTTCAGATTGAGCCAATGGACTTGTTTCACTGTTTGTATGAGATTCAGGAAGAAGACTATGCAAAAAGTGTAACTGGTGACTTACAGTCAGTTATACTGCTTCAGCCTACCTATACAAAAATGGACATTCTAACTATGTCATTCTGTGTAAAAAGCAGCAACAGTCACCTGTCAGTGTCTCTGAAATGCCAGCATCTACTTGGATTTGAGGAGGAAGAGCGAGCTTCAGCTTTCATGCCATCAACCTTAACACTAGATCAGTGAGTATATTCATGTACTTCTGCCCATGTTTTGGCCTTCAGAAATGATGGACCTACTTGTTTATTCCAAGTATTCAGACATAAGGTCATTTCTCGCAGTGTTACTTAAGGAAAGAAATCTATTCCTGCGTTCCAAGCTTTTTGTCTGCCCCCACTGTAAGGACTTATTGAACAGCCTCCATGTGTTGGTCATTGACCTAGGTAGGAACTGAGGGGAAACTAACATTTTTGAATACTTACTGTTGACAGGCTCTAAGAAAGCAGCCAACAAGACTTATGCCCGTGTTATCTAGAAAATGCCACTGGTCATATCTGTTCTCAGAACGTGGGTTGTAGCTGAGGGGTAAGTTACCTGAAGGAAAAGAGAAGTTGGAAAGGAACCTCTCCTTGGAGAATGAGTTTGCCCGAGTCTTTCATATCTGTGTGTCCTCCGTGGACAGGAGCATACAGGTGGAAATGAGCATGGGGCATATGTTTGAGGGAAGTTGGGAGGGTAAGGAAGGTGCAGCGAGAGTTTGTTTGAGACCAGTGACAAAGAGGTAGGGGAGACTGGGAATTAAGGCATATATGGCTTTAATGCCTTGACACATTCATAACAGCTTCAATCCAACTGTATACTATAAAGTAAAATAATGGAGTAATACACTGAAAGATTTTAAACCCTAATGGAAACAAAAAGGGGCTGCTGGTTCATTTTGTGTGCCCAGAACATCTGTCTTAGATAAAACCTCCATCCCCAATCCTTACTGTCTTTATCAAAGGGTGTAAATTCTTTTCAAAATTTAACCCAAAATACTCCTTTCCCAAGCATGTTGACTGAGAATTTATTATCGAGCTTTCCTAGCTCTCAGTTAGTCATTAATTCTTTGATTAGCTGACAACCAAAAATCAGTTGCATTGTAAAGACAATTTGGGCAAATCATTGACCTCTCTGAACATCTGCAAAATGGTGATGACCGTAACTGTCTCCAGATGGAAGGACTACATGAGATAATTGGTGTTTGTAAAGTGCTAACCTCAGTGCCTGACACTGGGTTACATGGTTTTGGCTTTGGAATCAAACCTGAGTACTCACCTCAGTTCTGTTCTTCCCCATGTGACCTTGGGCAAATAGATTACTGTTTTGTGGTTTAGTTTTCTTACCTACAAGATGGGGCCATACCTCCTAAAGTCTGCAGGAGAGGTGCATTGGGTAATGGAGGCCAAAAAAGCCTTTTACTTAAAATTGTGTTTTTAGTTGTTTTATTTAAAAGTAGTTTTGCTTTCTCATTTCTTTTAGGCCCTTCCAGCTGCTTAATTTGCCAGTGTCTCAGCTACACTTGCTTTGCCAAGCAATGCGAAATCCAAACTGTAAAATTAAAGACCTGAAGTAAGTTGAACTTCCCTTTAAACTTACGTGATTGCAGGTAACGACTGGGCTGGTAGAAGGTGCGCTCCCAGCTGATAGTATCACTATTGCTCAAACTTTCTGTAGTGGTGCAGTAAATAAAGAGTTACATTATGACACTAGAAGGGATAAGGAGTCCAGATACAGAGATACAGAGTCCTGCCATCCCGTCCTGCCTCTTTCCCTTTTGAATATGAAGCTTTTGCTATAGCAAATGGGTGACAGTGTTGGAGATTTGTGTTCTGTGCCCTTCTGGAGATCTACCTCCTTCTTTTCCTTGCAAGCTTCCCCTGTCGTATCCTTAGGTTTTCTTGTCGTTGGAACCCATCCCACTCCATACAGGTGATCCTATTCTCTGTCCTCAGGGCCCTTCTTGGCCCCTACAGTTACTTCCCAACATGCCACTCTTCTTTGAACCCCCCTTTCTCTTCTTGGTCACTCCCGGGTGCCTCGCCTGGTTGTCTGTCCACGTCAGAACACACAGGAGCTTGCTTAGTGTCTTACATCCTCACCTCACACATGAGTGTCTGCTCTCCTTCCTTCCTGTCCCAGAGAAAGAGGTGTTCTTTTCAAACCTACTAAAACCAGTACATTAGCTTCCTTTTATTCTTGTACATTTGTGAACACTTAGTGATTTCACTACATAACACAAAAGTATGTGAAGATATTTGAAAAGATATAAAAACTGGGCCCTCCCTGGTGGCGCAGCGGGCTAAAGCACAGCACTGAGAAGCTAAAGCCACTTCTGTGTGAATTTGATCCCTGTCCCAGAGGTGACCCACATGGCACAGCAGACCTCTCCTGACCCACCCGCTGCTCCCCTCAGCAGTGTACTTCGTCAGTCAGCCTGTTCTGCTCCCCGCTCTGTCTCTGGTGAATCCTCTCACTGCCCCTGCACCTCTGGCCTATACCCCAGTCCTATATGCATAAATAAATAAATCATAAAAAAGATATAAAAACTGTCCATGCTGTTACCCTTTACCCAACCTACACCCCACCACTGGCTGCCTTAACTCTGATGCCATCTTTCCTCAGCAACATCTTGTTTGTTACCTATCTTCCCAGATCTTGCTCTATGTTTATGTAAACATAAACCTGTAACACAAGCACACACATGTACAATATGCTTTAGTATACACACACATACAGAAGTTTGGGGCTGGTGGCTGTTTCACACACACACACACACACACACATGTACAACCCCTGTCCTTATTTTTTCATTGAACACATGAACATGCCTCCACTACAGCAGTGTGTGTGGTCTAATTCTGTTACGCATTTCTTGCGTTGTTAGCTTTCTTCAGTCATCTTATTCCCCAGGGCTCAAACCTCCCCCTGTTCAAAAGAACCCTCTTGGGGCCGAGTTTCCCACCTTACTCCTTCCCTGACAGGCTGACCCCTTGAAGAGCCTCCCTCACTGACTGCATTTCCTCCATTCCGGCTCACTCTGCAGTTTGGCTTTGGGCCGCCCCCACCCAGATCTGCTCAGATCAGAAATGCATGCCTGACCCAGTGAACACTTTCCACCTTGATCTTAGGGGGCTCCCTGCAGCCTGTGCCAGCAGAGGGTGCCAGTCTGGCAGCTCCCTGCCCGCTGTGCTGCAGGCCTGTGCACCTCATGGCCTCCAGGGCCCCAGGCCATGGCAATTTTGCCCTCCAGTGGCCATGTGGCAACGTCTGGAGCCACTGGTGGTGATGATAGCTGGGGCTGGAGCAGGCTGTGCTAGTGGCACCTAGTGGCCAGGGGTTACATCTCTTCTTTTAACCACCTCAACACCCCTCAGTGTGCAGGACAGCCCTCTGTGACAAAGAGTTTATCCAACCCTACCCTAGAAGGCCAGCAACTAGCCCAGGGACACTTCTGGCAAGGGACCTGGCCCCGTCCACACCTGCCCCAGCAGGAGATGCCCCAGAGTCACATCCAGCTGCTGCAGAGGTCCCGGGGCCAGGACAGCTCAGTCTCTAGGTCTGCAGGCCCTGTGCGATGGCCGGTAGCCTCAGTCTGGTCCAGGTTTGGTCCTCCCCATTCTCCCACCTGCAGGCAGAACCATGCAGTTAGCCCCCCTCAGCAGCCAATAGCCATGCGGGGTACAGAGCCCAGCCTCCCCTCCCTCATCCACCCCTTCCTGCGGTTGATTTACAGTGGGATAGTCTGCTCCACCTATGTGCATTCACTGAGAGCTTTGTAACCAGGCTTCCCTTCCGCATTTATCCGTGGTAGGTCTGTGGAGAGACTCCCGAGTGGAAACTATACTTTGCTCTGCAGTCTAGACCAGCAAGGTTTTGGGGACCATCAGCCGCTGACTCACCTTCTCAGCAGTGGCGTGAGCAACCTGTTCAGATGTGTTCCTGGTTCTGCCTACTGGGAACTGGGAAGGATTCTCCTGTCAAGGGGCTGAAGTCATAACTGTCCTCATCAGCCACTGACTCACCTCCTTGGCAGTGGCATGAGCTCCCTGTTCAGATGTGTTCCTGGTTCTGCCTCCTGGGAACTGGGAAGGATTCTTCCATCAAGGGGCTGAAGTCATAGCTGTCCTCATCTGCAGCCAACGCTGGTGTCCTCTGAATGCAACCTGGGGTCCTCTTAGGTAGGGGAGGAGAGAGGACAGGGATAATGTAGGTCCCAGATGAAGCACCAAAGTTATCCATCCCTTCGTGGATAGACGCCCAGCCAAACAGGGTTGGCCCAAAGCACTGAGGAATGAAAACTTGGTACAAGTCTCAGGCACCTTCTGGTGGAAACCCACCCAATAGGTGAAAGGGGCCTGAAAAATCCGGAAGGAATAGAGCAATATCAAAGTATAAATCAGGTGAAAGGCTGCCATTGTCAGCTTCCCCCAGGTCTCTTACTTTTCTTCCAAATTTCTCTGCATGCTTTGACTCCGAGTGCTTCGTTCCAAGTCCCCCAAGTCCCTGGGGCAAGCCCAAGGCCGTGAAGCCAGCGCAGCTTCTTCACATGTCTCACTGCTCCATGTGCCTCCACCTGGTCTTTTCCCAAGTTGTATTCTCCCTCCAGCCTTCTTTCCTAAGTCCTTTTTAGCTTCTCGCTGCTCAGCCCCACCCTTCCTTAGGTGGGGTTAGGGAACCAGGAACCTCCCTTTGCACACGGATTATACTGTTATAAAATCGACAAATTCTCAGTGTGTGTATGGACTTGCATATGCTTCGATGATGATGGAGAAAGGCGTGGGAGGATATACACCAGATTCTTTTTTCTAAATTTTTAAATTAAAAAAAAATTTGTGTGTGTGTGTTTGTGTGTGTATATGTGTATGTATGTATCTCTGTGTGTGCTTATTGCATTACTATTCCATTTTTGTACAATGTATACTTTCTCCTTTCAGGTGTTTCCCCCATACAATTCCCACCACCAGTTCACCCATGAATCATCACCATAGTTCCTTGTGTTCTTCTTGCCCCTGTTTTGATAACTCAACCTCCTCTCCCTTGCAGAATGTCTCTGATTTATAGTTGCCTGTTAATTTTTGTTATTGTTATTTTTTTTCTGATCCCTTATTTGGTTTCCCTGTATTTCTCCTATAAGTGAAACCATCTGATATTTTTCTTTTTCCTTCTGGCTTATTTCACTGGGCATAAGACCTTCTAGCTCCATCCATGTTGCTGCAAATGACATTAGTTTATCTTTTTAATGACTGAATAGTATTCTTGTGTGTGTGTGTGTGTGTGTGTGTGTGTATACACCACATCTTCTTGATCCAGTCATCTATTTTTGGGCATTTGGGTTGTTTCCATAGCTTACTTATTGTAAATAGTGCTGCAATAAACATATGGGTGCAGGTATCCTTTTGAATCAATGCTTTTATGTCCTTTTGGGGGTGATCCCGAGGAGTGAAATTGCTGGGTCATATTGTAGTTCCACTTTTAGTAGTCTGAGGAACCTCCATAGCTTTCCATAGTGGTTTGACCAGTTTGCATTCCCACGAGCAATGTAGGAGATTTCCTTTTTCATCATATCCTTGCCAATATCTGTTGTTGCTAGTCTTTAAAATATAGTTTTGAAAAGTGGTATGTGTAAGGTGGTATGTCATTGTGGTTTTGATTAGCATTTCCATGATTATAAGTGATGTTTTCCATATACCTGATCCCCAGCCCAGGAGCTGACCCACTTGTCACAGCAGACCTCCCATATCTCTCCTGCTGTTCCCCTCAGCAGTGTATTTCAGTAGATCTGCCTGTTCTGCTCCCCACTCTGTCTCCAGTGAATCCTCTCACCCACCCTCACTCTGCACCCCAGTTCTTGTATGTGTAAATAAGTAAACCACATCTTTAAAAATACTCTGTTCTTTATATTTTTCTCTACTGTGAAAATGGTTTATAATAAGCATGAATTATGCTTTATAAATTAAAAAGCCTTTTTTCCCCCAAATAACTTCTGATCATTTTAAATGATTTTAAATATTTAGAGAGTAAATGTGTCTGTACAGTCCCACTCTTCCCCCCCCCCCAACCTGGAAGATAACCAGTGTTAACACTTTGATATATATATCCTTCAAGTCTTTTTAAATGGCCCTCACAAATAAATGACAGTTTCTCAAATGAAGCATCCTCTCTCTTGCTTCCAGTGAATTTCTCCTTAGCCCCTCATGTTCTCCTCACTTTCTTTATCCCCTCCCACCTAACTGCTACTCCATTCTTATCCCCCCTTTCACAACAGCACACAAGTATCTCTTCCTCTTAGAAGTATTTCTGACCCTCCAAGCCCTACCCTATGATACTCTCTGCATTCCATTTGCTGTCATTTTCACACTGTGTTATATTCCATGATTTTCTAATCTCCCCCGCTCCATGGTCATTATGTCACTATGTAATCGCAGAGTTTGGGTCTTAGTTTTTGTGATTTCAGCAGCTGGCGCTGTGGTATACAGCTAAGGTGCAAACAGGTACCGTTAAAGAGATTACTGTTTTCTTCTTCCTTTGAAATGTGTTTTTTCCACACAGACTCATTTTCTGCCGCCTCACAGCTTCTTGTGGCAGGGATCTCTCCTTAGTACTTGCAACTAACCAGTATCTGAAAGATTTGGAATTTGTAAAAAATACCCTGGAAGATTCAGGAATGGAGCTGTTATGTGAAGGATTAAAAGATCCAAACTGTATCTTACAGGCACTGAGGTAACCAATAGCAGGTGGACTTCTTGTCTGTGTTCATATCATTTCTGTTTGTGGAGTGTGACAGCGTGAATGAGACAATAAAGTCGTTCTTCTGTTCTCTGAAGGTTTTACCGATGTCTTATTTCTCCTGCTTGTTGTGGGGCACTAGCAGCTGTTCTCAACACCAGTCAGAGGCTCACAGAGCTGGAATTTAGTGAAACAAAACTGGAAGCCTCAGCTATGAAATTGCTCTGTGAAGGCTTAAAAGATCCAAATTGCAAATTACAGAAGCTCAAGTAAGTTGCTACTGTCACTTTCCATACTGCAAAAATAACATTTTAAATATCCAACTCAAGATGAATGTTATGTGATCAAAACACATTTCATGGAGCAATGGAGAGGAAGAAAGAAGTGCAAGTCCCTGAAGTTGTTCCTGTGTCACAAGTTTAGGAAGAGAATTTTCAGTGCACATGGCTGTAACATTAGTGACAGCAATAAGAACCCATACTTGCTAAGCAATTGCTGTGTACTAAGCATAACACATGATTGCCTTTAATCTACATAATAGTTTTTAAAGGTTCAAATTATTATCTCCATGTTAACAGATGAAGAAATGGAGATTCAGACATAAAGCTGAAAGACATGGCACCAAAGGTACAATTCAAAACCCAGATTTGTCTCACTTGAAAGTCTGAAGTAAAGACTATATACATATATATAATATGGACTGATATTTATTTATTTATTTCAGTCCGTCAGTTTCTCCAAGAAACATAAACGATAGGATCGGGATAAATATAGAGATTTATTTTAAGGAATTGGCTCCTATTGATTATGTTGGCTGTCAAGTTCAAATTTGCAGGGTAGGCCAGCAGACTAGAGACACAGAGAAGCCAGTATTGCAGCTGAAGTTCAGAATCATCTGTTGGCAGAATTCTCTTTTTTCCAGGGAGGTCACTCACGCACTTGATTTAGTGAAACCCACCCTTATTATAGAAGGGAATCTACTAAAATCTAGCAATTTAAAATATTAATCTCAACTAAAAAGTGCCTTCACAGAGGATTGAGAATGTGTTTGACCAGGTATCTGGGTGCCATATTCTAACCAAGTTAAAACCCACAGATTTAATCATTGTAATGTAAGTGTTGGGTCCTCTAGAGCAAAATCTCTTTAGTATTAAACCTTTCAAAAGCCTACCTTGAAAGTAATTTTTTTGTAAAATACTTCTATTTAAAATTTTTAAATTGCAGAGACATAACCACACATCCTTATGAGCCCTCTTCAAACTGAGTTTAGCGCTTGATATCTCAACAGAAAATTGAGTACTCAAAGGTTCTCAATTATCAGAAGTTCTTCAAAGTGATTGAAGAAAAAATTGATGGGAAATAGTTCAAGGAATTTTACTACTTAATATGGAGAAACAAAGATTGAGAAGACAGGGAGGTCAGTAAAAAAATACTACTCATGCCAAAGAAGAATTATTATGTGGATGATGGTGATGTGCTGGGTCTCTCTAAGGATGACAAATTAATAACTTTCAGACAAAAGGGAAAGAAAGCTCTTTTGACTGTAGACTTTATAGAGGTTAGTAATAGCATTTTTCTTTTGGGAATTGAAAAAAGATATGATAGGGTGCTAAATGCATATGAGGAATTTAGATGAGGTTAGATCATCTTGCTGTTTCTTCCCAACCCTTTTCACTTTTGAGAGAGTCGGTAGTTACTGAGCTCTCAGTGATGGGAGACAGTGTTGTGGGAACAGTGTGCAAATTGCTCCCACCGGGGTAGGGAGAGGAGGCTACTCAAGGTTGAGAGTCTTGCACGAGTGGGCCTTGGTTTTCTTTGCTCATGAGATACTGCATGTAGCGGGTGACGAGGACAGAGGCAGAAAATTCTATCCGGTGTTCATCCATCTTTCTCTCCAGGTTGTGTGGCAGCCTTCTCCCTGAAAGTTCAGAGACTGTTTGCAAATATCTCGCCTCTGTTCTCATGCATCATACAAACATCACTGAGCTGGAGTTGAGTGCAAACCCCCTGGGGGACACAGGGGTGAAGTATCTCTGTGAAGGTCTCAGACATTACAACTGCAAAGTGGAGAAATTAGAGTAAGTTTCTTAGAACTAGCAACATCATATGACTAGTGAACTTGCTAAATGCCTGCTATGTGCCATGATTTGTGCTTGGTGTCTGCCAGAAGTTTTTCCACTTCATTGACTCTTTGCAATTTAAGCATATACTATGGGTGTTCTTTCCCCTGTTGTGCAGATGAGAAAACTGAGGATCGGGGGTTGGGGGGTGAGGTGGGGAAATGTCTTGTCCAAGATCACTCTGCTAAATAGTGTAAAGTCAAAATATAACTTCCAAAATCTGCCTCTAAGTCTCACGCTCTCTAGTACAATGCTGTCCTGTGTGTTTACAAGAATGGCATTAAATATTAATTCTGGAAAGAGTTCTGCTACGCACCTACCACTGCTCTAGAAGTGGGTGGCATTAAGACCACAAGTGACAGGGCTGCCCTGAAAACACACAGAGATGAAGCAATTGGAGAACAACACTGCTCAGTGTCACCAGTGCCCAATGCTGTGGAATCATTTAAAAATGCCAGATGAGCCAGGCACGGGAGGAGCTTCTGTGGGCTGGAGACTTCAGGATTATTGCAGGAGGCTCTGTGAAGGATGTGGGCCTAGGAGCTGGATGTTAAAGGATGATTAGGACTTAGGTAAATGGGGAAGCAGGGAGAACATTCTCAGAAAGCAAAATGGCAGTGGTGGCTGATTATTTTCTCTCTTTCTCTGAGCAGCCTGAGCACATGCCACCTCACAGATGCTAGCTGTGTGGAGCTCTCTTCTTTCTTGGAAGTGAATCGGACTTTAAAAGAGCTTTTTGTGTTTGGCAATCCTCTGGGGGACACAGGAGTACAACACCTCTCTGAAGGTCTGCGGCACACAAACGGCGTAATCAATAATCTTGTGTAAGTGTCTGCTTGCCCTGGTTCCATTCGAGGGCCTTGGTATTTGAGGTGTGGTGGGAGTCCCTGCCACCCTGCTTAATGGCCACCTGTGTCCCCATCCCTGCAGGCTTTCCGAATGTTCCCTCTCTGCAACTTGTTGTGAGTTCCTTGCCCAAGTCCTGTGCTGCACACAAAGCCTGACTAGGCTTCTTCTAATTAATAACAAAATTGAAGATTTGGGAGTGAAATTGTTGTGTGAAGGATTAAAACAGCCTGACTGTCAGCTAAGGAATCTGGCGTAAGTATCCTTGACTATAGCCACAGGCAGAGTTCCTGATGTTTCAGCAACTCCCACAATTAAATGAGTACCTTTTGGCCTGGCGTTTGACTCTCCAAGGAAGCAATAAATGAAGATCCAAATAATTTAAAGGGACTAAATCTTTCCCTTTCCACAATCTCCAGTTGGCCCTAATTTAAAGGGACTAAATCTTTCCCTTTCCACAATCTCCAGTTGGCCCTATCCCAAGGGATATCTTATACACACACACACACACACACACACACACACACACACAC